GACATCATTTTTATTACTCATAATCCTGATATCATCATATAACATTCTGCTGTCCCCTTCAGCTACATTAGGTGCTCTATAACAAACCCCTACAATTAGGCCATTTGAGTCTTTAGCATCCAGTTTTATCCATACAGCTTCTGTACTTTTACTTTTATCAGTGAGCTCCCTTGCCTGCAAGTTTTCTTTTACGTATACTGCAACACCACCTCCCTTCTTGCTTATCCGGTCTCTACGGAACAACATAAAACCATCCATATTATTTTCTTCCCCATCATTGTCACTCATCCATGTTTCAGTTATTCCTATAATGTCGTAAGTGTCTGATGAAATTAAAGCCTCTAAATCATTAATTTTGTTTCTAATGCTCCTAGCATTTAAATGCAGACCACAAATGGTAGGCCTTTTATAGTGCCCACTTTTAATATTTATTTGGGCTTTCCGTCTCTCCCGACATAAATTCGTAACTAACCTCCCTGCCCCCCCAGTCCCTAGTTTAAACATTCCTCAACTACTCTACACATTTCTAAAACACCATTGCTCCTGTGAAAAAATGCAGACCAAAGTCCCTCTTGTCATATACTGTAGGTATAGGCTAATACCCTGCTTTACTGTGTTACAGTAGCGATAGTTGAATTATCTCCCCATTGGTTCTGTAAACTGCTTGGGGTGTCTTGCAAAGTGCTATATAAATGTTATTCATAAGCAGATTCTGTTTTACATTCTTCATAAAGTGTAAACTACAACAATCATCCTGATATAGTTGAAAAATCCACATGTTCAAAATGGCTGTTTTCTCAAAATCTTTAACAGTGAAGGAACTGACGAGTGGTTGGGCTACTTATAGTTAAAAGTTAATTGAAAGTTTTCACCCTTTAGCCAAAAAAACCCACGAGTTCCACATATGTATATATATTATTTATTTATTTTCATACATGTTATTTATTTTTAACATCTACTGCAGTGGGCTGGCACAGTCCAAAGGAACCAAAGGAGCATCAGCTTCCCAGATGGCTCTGTATAAAAAAGTACAGGAATTCCTGTTAGTAATGAAGTCTCAGAAAACAATGACAACAGCAGCAAAAAATGGGATTCAAATGTCCATCAGTTAGTCTGAGGACTAGTCTTCTCTCCCCTCCCACCCTAACATTCACCAGAGCCACCTTCCTGTGTAGGTGTGAGAGACAGGTATTCAGATATAATGAAAACATCCTTCAGTAGGTCAGTGGTAACACTTGAAAGGGAAAAGGGGAATTCCTAATATGCTGGTTGTTACATTTATGTAAGTTTATATCCCCAATAAATATATTTAATTTTGATTGGTATTGCAAAGGGGATAATTTTGTATACATGCATCCCCGTAACAATATTATGTGATTTGGACTGGTGGGGGTGTATCTCAGTTCTGATGTGACCCCCACGGTGTTTAGGCTTTTGTCAGGTGAGGCCCAGAGACCAAATCCATATTTTCAGTTCATTGTTTGGGTTGCCTCAGTGTGTGTGCGCGTTAGCTGCTGAATGTGAAGCTACACTCACTGCTTCCTCGTTCACAATAACGACCAGGTCGATGGGCTGCTCGACGCTGTTGTCCCTGTTGCCATTCTGGTGACCTCCAGGACAGGCTGCACCTGAGGGTGGGAGGAAATTGTGAGGGCTACACTCTCTCAAATACACAAACACACACAGTATGTATAGCCATGAGACCAGTTTCCCGTGCTTCACTCGTGTACGTTCATTTGAACAGGAAAAGTTCCACAGGACTTCGATGTGAAAAGATATAAGCAAACTTTTATTCCACAGGTTGAATCTTCTTCCAAGAGTAATCAGGTCTAAGTTATTCTCAACAACAACAACAACAACAACAACATACTACGGTAGGAAAACCGTGCGACTCTATCCTCCTCTGCTGCAGCGTCTTGCCTCCGCTATACTAACCCCTTTTTTTTCCACACCGCATGTACTCATTTGCATAGATCTGCGATGCCGAGTTTTTAAGCCCTTTTTTAAGCCTTTAAGGCAAGCAAACGTATTCACAGTTTCCCTTAACCAGGTCAACACAAATTCAATAAAATCATTTTTGTTCAATTATAACCATGAATTTACTTATTAAATTACTAACTACACAAAATGAGTTTAACAGCAAATATAAACACTGAAATATATTAACTATATTAACTTGGCTTCCACACACTAGGTCAAAGCAGTAAAAAGAAAGTACCATACCTGAGTTGCTGGCCTCCCTTGGACAGGGTGGGGACGGGCGCAGGTAGGCATGCGTCTCAGGGGCTGCATGAAGTAGTAGCAGCAGCCATGCCTGCGCCACCAGCACCACCGCCTGCACAGGATCGTCCCAGTCAGTGAGGCCAAGCGCTACCTTGCCATGGAGGTGGAAAGTCATCCAGCCCGCCCACAGCAGAGTAGAACTCATGCAGGTAGCGAGCAACCATGCAGCCCTCCATTTAGCCTGCAGCTTCTTCATGCAAAGACTGCAGGCTGCAGCCAGCAGCAGAAGGCCCAGCAGGTAGGTGCAGCCCAGTATGAAGTCTAGTGCTTCATACTGACAGGCTGGCCGGCCCTGATGCACCACATTAATTAACAGGATCCATTCAGGATCCATTATTGCCAAGGCCACTGCTAGGCCTACTATGCAGCATCTTCTGGGGCTTTGGGTGCCTCTTGCCAACCAGCACAGCTGCACACCCTGAATAATCAGGCAGGCAAAGCATAGGGCGAAGAGTGGCCCCCAGAGAGCACGCCGGGCGATGCACACATACTCATTGTGGTCAAGGAGGTACGTGGCGGTGAGCGTGCAAAGCCCAACGATGGTGGCAAGCAGCAGGAGCAGCGGCGCCACCCCGCTGCGCACCTCAGCGTCTGTGATCCGCCGCAGGCGCCAGAGCAGCACCACAGCCAAGATCAGCGAGGCCAGGGCCGCCCCACCTGCTGCCGCCACCACGCCCCACACTACTTCCATATAGCCACCAGGAACAGTTTTGCCCTGTGCTAAGCTGGAATCCACTAAGGAGAACATGATGATGAACAGAGATAGAGAGAATGCCATCACTGAAACAGAGAAACAGAGAACAATCATTTTATGGATGGAATAGGCATGGGTCCATTAAAAACTGCAGAACACATCACAAGTCACAAAAGCAACACAAACTAATCCGGACCGCAAGACCCCCACAAGACAGCCAGCATCATTGTTAAAAACCACTATTGTCTAATAAGCTGCATCTCAATTAAGCAGACATTTTTTAGCATGGATTATCTTCTATCCCACCGATGACCGTCGACCTTCAAAAGCTCTTAAAATGTAACATAACACTCACCTGTGCACGTTTAGACTGGACAGATTCCGAAAGAATCCATAATAATATACGCATGAGTGCTTACCACGTTCTAGATCTCTCAATACGTCACAAATAGCGCAGTCGCAAAGACGTCAGTCATCTAGTCTCGTACAGTTTCAAAAAAACGTCACCCCAGTGATACCGTGTTGCCAACAACTTTCAAATGAAAATCGCTAGACTACTCTTTTTTTCATTATTTAGATTTTATTGTAAAAATTAATAAAATCAGGTAAATGGATTATTTACAGTATTTAAAATGAATATTTCAGTTTTATTAGTATTCTGTTAGTCTTTCCACTTAAAATGAACATCCTTTTACTTTTAAACAGTTGTAGTCGTGTCAGCCGATCAGTATAGTTTTTTTTTTGCCGCCGTGATGATGTGTGTTAATTGGTGGGCGGTGCCTGGGTGGAACCGTATGTATATCAGAAGGTTTCCACCCAAGTGTGTGCCTTCTACTTAGTTTCTCCTTGTCGCAGCACTGGGAGTCTAACGGTAACGTATTCTGTCGTTTTAAGCGGCTGCTTCGTTGTCGGGCGCCCTGCTTGTGTCGCGCAGGAAGTATGTTTTATCGGGCTGGTTTTTAGCGAGGGTCGGTTACGTGCTGGCTAATGGGTTCTCTGGTTTTAGTGCCTGAGTTTGGGCTTCATAGCCCTCATCTCCTCCATCGCTGAAAATCTGGTTCTGCCAAATGGTTACTAGAAGTATAAACGACGGACGTATGATTGTTTTTCTTCTGATGAATGAAGGCTATCATCAGTTTCACTGAGGCAAGGTAGGCTGGGCTTGGGTATGTTAGATTTAAATTGATTTGTTTTAAGACTATTAATGTTTATATTAGTTTCCTGTAGCGGTTGTCGGAGGCGAGGCCTTTGCGGTGTTTTCGTCTGGTGTGCAAGTCATCAAGCCTCCCCTTCAAGTTCACCGCTGTTGCCTCTGTTTTGGTGCTGCTGTTTTTGTCTTGGTTTTAAGTTGTTTCACCAATTGGTTATTGTGATTTCTTTTTAGTGTTCTTGTGTGTGGTGTTGTGAAGAATTGTTTAGGACGGGAGCCGTTTGGGGGGCCAAGTTGGACTGGTGGCGCTGTGGGAACTGCTAGTGGAGAACACGTGGAGTGGTGTGCAGTGTGTTGTGCAGTGGTGGTGAAGTCTTTCTCCCCTTCCTACGTTTTGCCATTTTCTGTCCCTGTGCTAAACCAAACTGTTCCTTGCCCTGGTTTGTCTTGTTTTTGGGGTTTTAGGCTGCCAGTTTTTTTTTTTTTATATATAGGAGTAATAAAAGTATATGATGGAATCACGTCCCTGCCTGTATATGTGTGAATGAACCTGTGAGCCTTGGTCTTAAGTGGGTTATCAACCAGAGATTCCTTAGGGTGGCATAGTCAAACATCCTCATCCCCTCCGTGCTTGTTCCACCACAATATTCCAACATATCAACAAAGGAACGGTCATGCAATACATAAAACAGCAACAAAGCCAGGGATGAGAAGAGAAAAATACCCAAGAATATAATTCTTCCATTTTACAAGTTTTGACAGCTTTCTTGTATGCAATTAACAATCACAATGTCTGCTCTTAACACCTAATTCATTTTAAAATAAACATTTGTCACTTTCCAATCATCCTGCTAATAATCATATAAATCTATCCAAAACATTCTTGTTCATTTTTTTTTTTATTTTTTATTTTTTTAAGAAATGAATAGTAGACTCCAGTTGTGATTTTTGTGGGATGTAAACAATCTCTAGTTTGAACCTCTGTAAGACTTCCTTGACAGGGTATATTTGATGTTTATTTATTTTATATATATATATATAAAAAAATTCAAGTTTTTATTGTTTTCATCAAGAACATGACAATATCATCCAAAACACAGGTTACAAATTTTTACAAATACTGCACATCAGGGCCAGAATATACACAGTGGCTGTGGTTAACAGGTGCAGACGGAATACTATTTAAGGAGAGAGAAGATAAGTAAATAATCTTACCAAAAATAAAAATATGAAAAGTTATTGTGACACTTGTAAAGACAGCGACACAAAATACCAAAAGTCTTCCCAAACTGGAATACCCACAAGAAGCCCTGCTTTATTCTTATTATGTAGTATGTAGAGCAAAAGTTTGTACGAAGCTGTCTTAGTCATCATAATGACCCATTCTTTTAACTCTGGGGTTTTGGGGTTTTCCAGTGTCTCAAAATGACTCTAGCTGTCACAGAGACCCCCAGCATAATCACAGAGAACTCTCCCTTTGTAAGATTTGGCATCTGCTCCCTGTCACCCAATAGATACAACCTTGGTGAAAATGGTATTGTTGTTCCAAGCCATTTGCTCAAAATATTTAAAGTTTGGTGCCATAAAGGCTGAATAAGTCCCAGATAAAATGAATAAAAGTACCTATATCCTTTTGACATTTCCAGCAAACATTATTATTAGTCAGACCCATTCTATTAAGTCTAGTGTCAATAGTCTCTAGTGTGAGGTGTCAGATAAAACCTGTGTATAATTTTATACTGTGTAAATTGTCCTTTAGCTTCTCTTACATATTTGCCAGTATTTGACTAAATTCTTTTCCACTCTTCGTCCATGATTACAGTCCCAATGTCCTTTTCCCATATTGTCTTTAAATTAATGCAGTCATTGCTAAGCAAATGGGTGTTTGTCCTGTAGAATAGAGGCTTTTTTCTGAAAATGGGGCAGTGTTAGGAAGTCCAAGATATGATTTCCGTCTGTGTGCTGATTTTTGGTGAGAACACAATTTCTGATTTGAAGATATTTCCAAAAATTCTTTCCCCTTTAAATTATACTTCTGTACGAGATTATTATAAGACATAAATACACCTTGTTCAAACAGATCTGTCACAGTACACAAGCCACTCGTATGCTGTTCTCACAATATATCGGTGATTTCCCAATACTAATAGCCGAATTGTACCACAGGGAAGAGTATGGTTGCTTACAATGTGATAATTTATACATCTTGTGAATCTTTGCCCATACCTCTCGAGTGCTTCATAACAGGATTTGTGATCATATCCGAACTCTGAGACAGGCGTTCGATAGGGCTATATGGCCATGACAAAGTTTTTTCAATAGTAACCCATTCTAATTGAGTATCATTGTGCCAATGCATGGCTAATTTGGCCATTTCAAAGGATTTCTGATATAGCCGAGGATCTGGTAATCAACCAACCCTCCCTTATCACGAGGCGCACATAATTTATTGAGCTTTATCCTGGGCCTTTTTCCGCTCCATAAAAAACGTTTAACCATTATATCGCATTGATTAAAGATCGACTGTGGTATTGTAAGTGGCAGCATCATAAGCACATAGTTAAACTGAGGTGAGACCACCATTTTAATTACATTCACCTTCCCCCATAAAGTTAACTGAATTTTTCCCCATTTGTCAAATTTATTTCTTATATTTTGTAAAAGTGGTGCCAGATTTAGAATGGGAATCTCTTCTAACTCCCTGCTTATCTTGATACCCAAATATTTTATCCCTCTTGGGATCATCTAAATCCATCTAAAGCCAAATTTAGTTACCATATTTTCATTACATATTCCGGATATAGGCGCCGCCTCTGACTTTGTCCAGTTGATTTTTATATCCAGACACTTTAGAATAGGATTGGACTGTCTCCATTAAGTAAAGCAAGGATTTATCTGGATCTTTTACCAAGGCCAAAATGTCATCGGCATATAAGAACAACTTGTGTTCTGTGCCGCCCCCTTGAACGCCTGAAATATTTGCGTTAGCCCTAATGGCCATGGCCAAAGGTTCCAGTGTAATATTGAATAATAATGGCAACAGCGGGCATCCCTGTCGTGTGCCCCTGGTGAGGTCAAAAGACAGAGAAACTTTACCATTAGTAAACACGCACGCCTTAGGGGCCTTATACAATGTTCGAACCCACTTGATAAAACAAGGCCCAAACCCAAAATTTGATAACGTTGTAAATAGAAATTCCCAGTGCACCCGATCAAACGCCTTCTCTGCGTCAAGTGAGAGAGCGACAATCGGGTCAGGTTTGTCTCTGTTTAGCCAGATTAAATGAAGTAACCTTCTCATGTTATCTGTTGACCTATTCATCATAAATCCTACTTGATCAGGGCTTATAATGTTGGATAACACCTTCTCTAGCAGTAACGCAAGAATTTTACTAAGGATCTTGCAGTCTACATTAATGAGACTTATTGGCCGATAATTTGAGGGTTCGGTGGGGTCCCTATCTTTCTTAGGAATCACCGATATTAGAGCATCATTAAAAGACAGGGGTAGAGATCCACTAGCATATGCCTCATTATATACTTCTGTTAAAATGGGTGCAAGTAAATCTATATACTGTTTATAATATTCAACGGGAAACCCATCTATCCCTGCTGATTTTCCATTCTGCATAATAGATACAGCTTTTCTGACTTCAAGTTCTGTTATTGGGCCTTCTAACATTCATCTCCTCTGGGGACAATGTAGGCATTTTGAGCTTGGAGAAAAAACTAAGCAATTCTTCCTGTTTAGGATTAATGTCCGCGGTATATAACTCTTCGTAAAATTTCCGTAATACATCGTTTATCTCCTTCGTTGATGTTACTATTGTGTTTCCTTTCTTAACTTAAATTACATGTAGTCTTTTGTTTCAACTGTCTAGCAAGCAGCTTACCAGTTTTCTCCCCTTCCCCATAAAAAGTAGTCCCCATTCTAAATAAGTCGTATTCCACCTTTTTATTATAAATTTCCTGTAGTTCGAATTTAAGTTTACAAATATCTTGATATAACTGGTTTGAGAAGCACTGAGAATTCTTGTTCATAATTTTTTATTTTATCTAATTCCTCTATTCTGTCATGATCCTCCCTTTTCCTTCTAGATGCGTACCCTATTATTTTCCTTCTAACATAAGCCTTAGATG